ACCCTAACCCTAACCCTAACCCTAACCCTAACCCTAACCCTAACCCTAACCCTAACCCTAACCCTAACCCTAACCCTAACCCTAACCCTAACCCTCTCTCCTTTTCTCTACAGCAGCTACCCTCTATCTTTAATTGTAGGTCTGCAATTTGTATAGCGTTTTCTTTAGATAGCTACTACACAGCTTAGCTGTATTTAAAAGTAGGCTAGGTCTAAACCTTTCAAATATATTAGCTAACCAATATAGTCTAACTACCTGTTTAGCTTAGCCTTCTTGTCGCCTGCTTTAATCAACTGCCTTTTTAACTTAAACTATGCTATCTAGGTTGCATAGATTTATATTAGCCACTTCTCTAATATCTCTGCACTTACCTTTGCTACCATTGCTAGCTTGCTGCCCTAGCTAACCTTAAACTACCTACTTGCTATATGCAACTAGAAAAACCACTAGCAATGTATGCCTATTGTCTATAGCATTGCTTGCTTCTGTTTTGCCTTCTTTACCACATTGCTACCCCTAACCTATCCACTTTTCTATCTATACTTTTTCCCACAATAATCTCTTATTCACTATTTGCCTTGCATAACAAACCTACACTTATTGCATTGCAACCTGTTAGACTTAGGCAGCGCAATAAATAGGATTAGGTTAACTATTAGTAGCAAGAACCAAAATGTCTGCAACTTATCCTAGTTTTGCACAATACCTTCTAATCTCTCTACTGCTTTTACAACTTCCACTTGCTGCCTTGCATTTATATAATCATACTTTCTGCATAAATAAGTCCTAGCCTTACCTGCACAACATCTAACCTTGCATTTTGTGCAAATAACAAACAGGTATTTAGGCAAGCAGTTAAATAGCTCTATAATTTCTTGCTAACCTAACAATATCTCTATGCTTTAAACTATTCTACTCAACCTTAAAATCTCAACCCCTTTCTACTTTTTTGTTTACTCCTATCATGCTACTTTTGCACTAAATAGCTACTCTAACTAGTCATTAGTCTTCAACCCTAGTCTGTCACAATCTTGCTCTAACCTATCCTAACCCTAACACTTACAATTCTAACATAGCTCTACCTCTTTGCACCTGCTGCTTAGGAAACTAAAAGTTCTATAGCTAGATTCTTCTTAATTTGCTAATTAAAAGCATACTACTTTTGTTTATTTTGGCTAAGAAAAAGTCTTTAGCAGCTACTTTCCTTTTCTTTACAGCAGCTACCCTCTGTCTTTAATTATAGGTCTGCAATTTGTATAGCGTTTTCTTTAGATAGCTACTACACAGCTTAGCCATATTTAGAGGTAGGTTTGCAATTTGTATAGCGTTTTCTTTAAATAGCTACTATATAGCTTAGCTATATTCAAAAGTAGTAAATAGCAAAAACTTAAACGTTTTTAACTTATCTTAGGTTTTTGTAATGTCTAAGATTTAGCTTATTAATTTTACAATTCTTAACTATTTACTAAGCTTGATAAACTTATACTTTGCCTTTAAATAACTAACAACTTTGCTTGCTATGCATTTAATTTTACACTTATATATTAAAAATAAATATTTAAGCAAACAAACAAATAGCTTTATATATATACTAATTTTGTTAATTTTACTGCTAAAAATATCTACAAACTTTACCTTTTGTTTCTTTACAAGCTTTACCTCTTGTCTTTACTAGCGCTATTTTAAATTATCTAGCATTTTCTACAAGCATAGCTTATATTTATTGCTATATTTAAAGGTAAAGTAAGCTAGTTATTTTTTTCTTTTTTACAAAAAGATATGTAAATCTTAATAAAAGCATATAATAATAGGTAGAAAAAAAAAGTTAAACAAATAGTTTTTGTCTTTTGCATGCTTTAAGTTTTAGTTACTTCTTTTATATTCTTTTTCCTTTTTTTTCTCTTACTTCTTTTTGCATTTCTTTCCTTTAAATTCTTTTACAATATAAAAGAAGGAAAGTTTTAATGCTATGCATTGCTTAAGCTTAGCCAAAAGAGAAAGGAATAGCCAAAGCTTTTGTCTAGCATTTGGTAAACTAAACTGCTTTTGTCTAAATCTAGCCTATGCTAACCTATACTCTAATGCTATCTCCTATAAATGCTATCTAATTAGCGCCTTGCATTTTTATATTTTATATAGACAAAATCTTCTAACTGCTAAAAGTGTTGCATACCTTGCATACCTAAGTCTCTTCTATGTTTTACTAAAATGTCTGCTAATGCATAACTAGTAGCATACTAGTTAGTATAGCTTTGCAACCTAGCATTGTAGCACGTTTAAGATAATGCTAGGTTATAACCTAGCGCTCTTCTTATAAAAAAGCGTCTGTTAGTTAAGAGTAGTTAGAAAAAAGTCGCGGCTTGTTAAGCAGTTTTGTGTTTAGAGGCTTGAAAGACCCTAGACTTAGGTGCGAGTTACATCTTATACATCACCTACTCTAAAGCGCATAACTAAGGAAGTAAATGATTAATTTGGTAGGCGGAAGCGGGAATAGCAACAGGAATGGGAATGGGAATGGGAATGGAAATGGGAATGGGATGGCAACAAGAATGGGAATGGGGACGGCTAACGGTGTCGCCTCTAGAGGAGCGCTTGAGAAGACCTCGCAATCTCGATCCAGACCATGTGCAGATTCCTTCAGAGAATATGAATTGCATCTGACACCTACTCCTAAATCCCTTCTCTTCCTTCTCTCAAACGCGGCAACGTTCTATGATGATACGATTATAGCCTTCGCTCTATTATGTCAGCTCTAACAGAATCGCTAGGTAAACTCTTTTACAAACGTTTACTTTCGGATGTTGAGACTTGCCAATTACTTGCGCTGGCAGTAGGGTGAAGGCTAGCTTAGGACGACGATCTTGCCTCCCAACAGTGATATGAGTTTATAGCCTGCTATCGGCGCCAAGCCTATGGACAAGCCTTTGCTCTAGCTATTGATAAACATGTTAGGGAGATTGGTAAGAAAATTCTCAATGCTTTGTCGCATCGTGGTGCTAGACGAGTCGACAACTATTGTCTGTGGAGAGACGGATCTAGCTATGAGTGGAGATGAGTTTGGCAAGCACACTGTAATCACTTTTAATTATCGCTTGGATGCGGCTAGGGATTTGGCTATGGTTGTGCTCGTGGCTAGTGGAAAGGTTGTCGAGCGAGGCGGGGGCAGAGCCAAGTTAGCGCCAAGGCTTTAAAATGTCCCGTAGCTCCGAATTCCAATCGACTTGCGGGGTTTCGTGCGGCAACCTAACCTCTTTAGACGCCGGGATACGGAATCGGCAGTGCAACTTTAGCTTGGCAATCGGAGCATATGCTAACTGTCGACTAGCTGCTTGGTAGCAGTCACGTCATTTACCCTTGTTCCTTGCAGCGACTGCTTGGCTGGCCTCCCCGCATTTGCGGGGCCCCACCCAACTTCCCCGGCAGGACAAAACGGTTGAGCTGTCTTCCCCATATTTGCTTCACGCTAGCGAGTAGTAGTGCCGCCCTTGAATGCCGAAGTTCAGCGGCTAGGAAAAATGGGCCTGTCCGTTGTCATCGTTAGAATACCAAGTTCTAGACCGCCCCTGAGCTGCGAGGAGATTCACGCCATGTATATAAGCTCCGACGATCCCAAGACTTTAGCTCTTCCTCCTCGCTTAAGTTAACCATTGCGGCTGCGAAAGCTAATTATCTACCATGAAGCCCGCTTCTGCCCACCACGATGACGTCGAAGCGTTTAACGACTCGACCCTCCAGCATGCTGCCGAGAAGGGGCAAGCCGCAACTGACAAGTATGGATGCCCAATGCATGTAAAACCTACCGTCCACGTTGCTCACCCTCCTGCAGATATGGCCAATCCCTTGTGGAATATAATCCTTCAGCCGAGAGGAAGCTTCGTCTGAAGATCGATTTATGCATCATCCCCATCGTGGCTTTGCTTTACTTGTTCTGTTTCATCGACCGGGCCAATATCGGTGAGTCTACCCGTCCCTGCTCCGGAGCCGTTGCTGACAGGCGCAGGTAACGCCAAAATCGCCGGGTTTGATACCGATCTAGGGATGGAAGGCTACGACTACAACATTGTCATCACCGTTTTCTACGTCTCGTACATCGTCTTCGAAGTCCCGGCCAATATCGCCTGCAAGTGGATGGGCCCCGGCTGGTTCATCCCGCTCACGACGTTCCTCTTCGGGGTTGCTTCACTTGGGACTGCGTTTGTCCACACGATCCCTCAGGCCGCCGGGGTCCGGTTCATCCTCGGAGTATTCGAAGCCGGTATGCTACCTGGTATTGCATACTACCTCTCCCGATGGTATCGCCAGGCCGAGCTGGCATTTCGATTATCGCTCTACATCGTCATGGCACCCCTTGCCGGAGCCTTTGGAGGGCTCCTGGCTTCCGCAATTCTGAATCTCGATGGCTTCGGCTCCCTCCACAGATGGCGCATGATTTTTGCTATCGAGGGCATAATCACCATTGGCCTTGCTCTTATTAGCGCCGTCATTCTGACCGATCGGCCCGAGACAGCGCGCTGGCTTACAGCCGAAGAAAAGATTTTGGCAGTGGCTCGCATCAAATCTGAACGGGTTGGTACCACTGTTGTCCTGGATAAGATCAACAAGACCCGACTTTCCCGTGGGGTCTTTAACCCGATTACGCTGAGTACATCATTTATCTTCCTGCTTGACAATGTCACTGTTCAGGGCCTGGCATTTTTCCTTCCAACCATTGTCAAAACAATTTACAAGGAGAAGACGACGATTCAGCAACAACTCTTCACTGTCCCTCCATACATTGTTGGAGCATTCTTTACTGTATTGTTTCCTCTTATCAGTTGGCGCATGGATAGGCGCCAGATATTCATCATTCTCTCTGCCCCGATGGTCATGGTTGGTTACTGCATGTTTCTTGGGTCCCACGATCCATTGACCCGCTACGGAGCAACTTTCCTTGTCGCTTCATCGACCTTTGCTCTTGGGCCGTTGACAAATGCACAAGTCTCTGCGAATGTGGTGAGCGATACAGCACGCAGTGCAGCTATTGGGACAAACGTCATGTTTGGGAATATTGGAGGCTTGATCAGCGCGTGGTCGTTCCTCCCATGGGATTCACCGGATTTTCATATTGGCAATGGGCTGAACTTGGCAACGGCCGGCACCATCTTGGTTGTGAGCACGTTAGTGTTGGTGTGGATGAAGCGAGATAATAAATTGCGGGATAGCAGGGATGTTGAGGACGAATTGGGTGGATTGACGCAGGACGATATTGAAAACCTTGACTGGAAGCACCCGGCCTTCCGCTGGAGACTTTGAGCCGGTTACTTAGGATTAGGAGTTGGTATGGATTCTAGACATGCAAATTATCCGTAACCTAGCTGAGATTTTCGCGGATATTACTCTCTCCTGACACGCCGATATGTCAAGATCGACTGGCTCCTTTTGCTGTAGTGAAGTTGCGATGAGATGGTGTCACCATGAAGAACTATTCCCTTACACGACCGCTGAGCTACATGGGGGTGCAAACTACCCACTGACCACGCAGCGTATCTTTCGCTGTGGCAGTTCGCTAGATTGAACGTACGAGTACGTTCCGACTAAACTGCACGCCGTCATTGGCTGCAGAGAGTGTATGACAATTAATGACGTTATATAAAGCGATGTAGTCATACTCCGACAAGGGGCTCTTTGCCCTGCTTGTTTTAAAGAAACGCGCCTTGATCTAGTTACTCTCCAGTTCCAACTGCGCTTTGTTGAATTCGAAATCCCGCTTTTGGGTCTTTTCTTTCCTATGGATACTCGAACACGCATTGACGCAGAGTAGCTACTTGAACATGGGGTTCCAGAAGACCTATGAGACTGATGGCTAGCGCAAGTACGGAGCCTCCGAGGTCTCGCAGATAGGGGCGACTTGTCTATGGGATTCCCCATTGCACTTACGCTCGTTGGAAAGCCAAACTATTTTGATTCCCCAGATATCTAACCTCTGTTGCTTGATGTTCATAGAACATTAATTGACCATGATTACTACAGCTGTGAAGTACACACAGATCTCGCCGGTTAAGCCGCTCAACAATATAAAATAGGCTCTTCCTGCATAACCAAGGAAGAACTACAGGAGCACAGAGTCTAGAGTCCTCAACAGTTCCCCCGCGGGGATTCCCTCCCTTCTTTTCTCTCTAGTACCCTTCATTATATAGCCCAATGAGGATACGTTGCCCGCATCCACTCTCCATAGTGATAGTCTGTCAGCGGCCTGACAGGCGAGGATGACAAGCAGCAGCTTAGGCAAAGCGTCTGTCGACAAAGCCAGGCTAGGCATTTATTCCAGAATGCCCCCAGTGGCGTTCCGGGAGCGGTCTCCCATAAAGGGTTAAAGTTTTGAAAGTGAAACTTTTAAGATTAAAGTTTTGAAGATTGAAATTTGTTGAGAATTGATTGCATAACAAGCCACAGTAGCTTACTTGTTCATCGGCTCTTGACTGATAGGCTTGAGAATATTGTATAATCTTGTGCTAGGTAGATCTATCAGCGCACTAAAGAGAAGAAGGATATGTAGCTAGATGCAGATTAAAACTCTGCATCAATAGTCATAGATTTATACCGTGTACCCATAGATCGCACGTTGCGCATAGTTATTCCAGGACCGAAGGTAGCCAAGGGAAGCCTCGGCGGTGACTTTGGCGGTGAGTTGGCCGGCGCCGTGGTTGGCAGCGGGTAATAATTGGCGGAGCATATGAAAACCAGGCGGGTAGGCTGGCATTGGGGAGGCCAGCGCCATGGAGGAGAGACATTGCAAAGGAAACACAAGCTGCAGGATTAAGAACATGCCCTTGGAGTCTCCTAATGACGTTGGAATGGACCTCTGGAACCTAGGACGTAGACTAGCTTGCTCATAGGCAAGCAGTAATATTTTGTGCATATCTTACAGTCTTAGGGAAGAGGCATGTATTTGGCGAGGGTGATCGAGACACTAAGTACCAGTTACATTTTTCTATTCTGACTGATTATCTCGGGCATTCTGTGCTTCTAGAAATAACTAACCATGCCTTTCTCATAGGACGTGCCACATGATACGAGTGAGATCCTGCAAGTCCGTCCACGAATACCCGTCAAAGTAGCCCGGAGCATCCTTGTCTGGTAGGCCCTCCCACTTGAACTTCGGCACCTCGCCATTAGTGGAAACCCTCGAGAGGAACACATGCGCAGCAACGCACACGCCGTCGCCAGGCACCATCCCCTCATATCCCTTGACTAAACCAACAAACTCCTCATACTCCTCATCTGACCCAATCATCGATAGGTACTCCGCCTCCTTGGCGCGGCCCCCAGGGATAAAGCAGAGCAACCCCGGCACATCCGTCGTGTTCATCACCTTGAGCCACTTCCTCCCCGCCGTGAGGATCCTCTGCAGCCTCGCCCGACTAGTCGCATTAACCTCCCACCTCGCAGCCCGTATCACCGCAGCAGTGACATCCCTGCCCAGGCGAATCTGCCCAACCTCCTTACTAGCCTCCAGCTCCATGATCAGCTTCGCCTGCGCCAGGCGGCCCACGAAGCACAAGAACCCCTCCTGCGCCTCCGTCCGTACAACCACACGCGTCAGCATGGTGAGGCGTTGCTCCGGCTTGCAAGCCGGGAACCCTAACCAGCCTCCCATGGTCTCGAAGATGCGCCACCCGGCCACGAGGTCGCGCAGCTGGTGGAAGGCCGCGGGGCCCGTTGCCGCTGCGGCGAGCTCGTGGATGTCTCTGCGGCGGGCCTTTTTGGGGTCGGGTTCGGCTTGGGAGTTGTCGTCGGTGGCGGTGGCGGGGGCGCGGCGCTTGCTGGTGTTGCTGGCGGTTTTGGTGGCGGTGGACTTCTTCTTGTTGATGGTCTTCTTGTTGCCTGCCTTGGTACCCTGCGCGGTCTTCTTCTGCTGCTGCGTGCCTGTCTTGCCGGTATTGCTGGACTGGTCCTGCGCGGTGTTGTCCACCGTGATATTGCCAGCACCATCCTCATCCTCATCCCCATCCTCATCCTCGTCGCTGCTATCTTCATACTCCTCAAGAGGAACCTGGACCTCCCCTTCCGCCATCTCAGCGAAATACCTCTTCCTAAGCCGCGGCTCGACGCAGCCAGTACACTCTCGCACGCCATCATTAGTGAAGTCATACCCAGGCGCCGCATAGTTGACCGCCTCAGCGCGCGAGTACATGGTGCTGAAGCCGGCGTGGTACGTGCCAGGCAGCGTGACAACCGTCTCGCCGGCGCGCTGGTCGATATAGACGACAGGGATGCCGGTCTCGCCGCCGCCCTCGAGGCCTTCAGCGGAGAAGATGCCCTCGTGCCGGACCCACTGCGTGCATTTTGTCGCGTTGCATGGCTTCCCGCCTTTCTGGACGGCGGCGCCGAATAGGGCCTCTGCTTCCTGGGCGTGGGGCTGGGCGACGCAGATCCAGATCTTCTGGCCCATGTATAGGTGGCTGAGCGAGACGGTGTTGTTGTCTTCGATGTGGAAGGCAAACGGGGCACCCGGGGAGGCGGGGTCCTTGGGCTGGGTTGCCTCGAAGAGGAGGCGGGTGTGGATGCCCTGGATCCTGACGCGCGTCTTCTCTAGCTGGTTGTCCTTGAGCGGCAGTGCGGGGGGCAGGCCGGCGCGCGCCCGGCTGTCTTCGTCGTCCACGGGTATATCCGTCCGATAGTAGACTTGGCTGAGAGGGCCGCCGTTGCCGTTATTGGTGTCCTTAAGGAACGTCGACATTCTCTCAAGTGCCTCTGGTATGGTCAAGTACTGAGGGGCGACCTTCGGGACGTTGAATCTTACCACGACCTGGCTGGGCTCTAGACTGAAGAAATCGTCGGCCAAATGCTGCAGTCGGAACGAATATGCCTTGCCCTTGTCGAACTCAGCTGGCCGCTTGGGAATTGGCTGGACCAGCTCCTCGGGGAGCCGGATCTTGAAGGCTCCGCCCAACGAGCCTACTCCAAGCTGCGTCGCGCACTCGATCATCGCCGGTGTGTCAAGGTACTGTTCCGCGGTGGGGAGGAGGACCAGGACCGTGTGGTAACTCTGCCCGGAGCCGGTCGGGACGGTACATTCCCAGAAGCCCTTAATTCCCATGTGCTCAATCGTGTCTCCCCTGTTAAACCCGATAGATTGGGCGGCCGCCTCTTTTGCGCGGGTGCGGACGATTGCCGGTGAGGGGCGCAACTGGAATTGCTTGGCAGTGGCAGGAGGCGCCGTGGTGGGGCCGGCTGTGCTGAGCGACAGTTCAGTGTTGTTGGCGTCATCTGTGTCCCCATTGGCTCCGGCGATTGTAGATTCGGGGTTGATGTTGTTGTCTTCGCTGGTGTCTGGATTAAAGTGCCTGATTAGTATCGCCATGCTTTTCTCAGCGCTGTCTGGGAGGGGCTCGAGGACTTACGAGTGCCACCGTTCTCCTTGCCAGAACCAGCTGCATTGGTAGTCTCCGGGTGGCCGCCATTGGCCGTGGCATCGGTGGTTGGACCAGACGGGTCATCACTGGCTCCCTCGGTGGTATTCTCAACGGGGAGAGGCTCATTGGTAGGCTTGCGGGACGGCTCGGTGTCGGGAGGGGTGTCAGAGGTGCCAGTGGTAGTGCCATTGGCTTGCGGCGTATCTACATTGATTGCGAGACACATGGTCAGCATCAGCAGCCCCGCCAATCATCCGCAGAGGTAGTTCTGCAGGCAAACACGACGGAAAGGGGGAGAACGTACTAGCTGCACTACGAGTGGCAGCCCCTGCATGGACACGGGACTCTGGTTGGGCACGTGCCGTCTCGGTTGGGGAGGGTTCAAAGCTGGGAGCGTCCGTCACGTCACCGACTCCCCGCGCGGTTGCCTCAGCCGCCTCTCTGGCCTCTCTGGCCGCGAGTCGCTTCTCGAATTGGGCTGCCCTGACACCGAAGGCGTCGACCCTGTCCGTGATGGCATCGAGGGCAGCAAAGAACATTTCTGGGCCTTCGGTTGTTGATGGGGTTTCGGATTCGATCTGGGCCAGGGCCTTCCGGCGTTGCCGCGTTGAGCGTGCCACGCGGTGGGTATTGCCATTGCCTTGTTGCCCCTGAGCCTCAAAATAGCGGACGAGAGAGCTCCTCAGGGATACGATATCGGCCTTGACCGTGTCGAGCTCTTTCACCGTAACCATGGAATCCATTTTAGGCGTCTTTTTCTGCTTGTTTTGGGGTGTTTGGAGGGCGAGACGCGTCCGTTTGCTGCGTTTGCTTGCTTCCCTTTGTGATAGCCGATGGCTGCAGGGGGCGTCCCTGCACGGGCCACCCGCCAACTTGCCCAGCAACCAGCTGCCACATTCTGAACGCTCGCAGGCGCGCTCTCTCAATCAGTGGGGGGCAGAAAATGACGCGCCCTTAATTAACGTTGGGGGGGAAAATACATTGCCTGTTTGCATTGTTACTATTAACTCGTGGTATTTGTAGAAAGGGTTGCGATTACTCTTTGCTAGTGTGGGATAATTGAGCCAAGACTAGCAGGACGGCGAACTTTTGGCGAAGCCATACTATCGAAGCCAGCGCCATTGTTCTTTGAAGCGCAAGCAGCGCATGGCTAAACAGTCCATATTTTATGCCACGGTATTTGAAGGAGGAAACGGCTTTAGATGATAGAGTGGATGGTTCGCCGCAAGATGCAGTCAATTGAGAATCCACCTCGATCTTGTCCGCATGTTGAGATTTGATGGGAGAAAGTGAAATTGAACGGAGCGGAGGTATATGTACTGTACGGATGTACAGTAGTACCTCTGGCAAGGAACGTCCCAACCTCATTCGCCGAAATATTGAAGCGTACCGAAAAGGGCATGCCCGGATGTGGGGCGGGCATTAAAGTGGTCGCGGCGCCCGGCCGTTCCATGTCCGTAATCGCGGCTCCACTTTGTGTGGCTGTTTATGTGTGCGAAAAAACACATAACAAGCCACACCATTAGAATCCTAATCTGCTTTGACAAGGCCAAGAGGTGCGCTCTATCGTAGCCATCAGACCATGCAACCTTAAAACGAACAAACCACGACAGTGTTGGCATTTGTTTGACCATAGCCAGGAGCATGAGAATACATCGGAGCTGCGCTGAGAAGAAGTTTCGAAAGAGCACTCAAGGGACTCAAACCAGGGCTTAATTAATTAATCTTTCACCAAGATCTCTAGCAGAAAGTTTCAAGATGGCTCTCTGCATTCCAATTGTTGTAGCATTGGCTAACTCAACGGTCTTCACCTCCCTGGGTGCAACAAGAGCCTGCAAGTATTACCATTTTCCGCATTGAACACCATGTTAGGAAATGGCAGCACCGGCAACGGCGGTACCGGCAGTAGGACATCCTCCCCCGTATAGAATGAGGCCGATTGTAGCGCGCTACAGGCAAACCCAATGGGCTTGGCAGGCGGTTATATTGCGCGTAACTGCAGAAAGGCGTCGTCGGTGATGCGTGAGCCGGAACGTTTGTCATCCGCAATCTGGGCGAGTTGTCGGTGCTGGAGTTCACGGTTTTCGACAAGGGACACCCACTTAGACATGACCTGAGGCGGATTAATGCGACTATTGGAAGCCATGATTAAATACACGTCCAAGTCCTGTCGGGGAGGAACGCCAGTGAGTCTAAGAACCGGACCTTGGGCAGCAACAGCCCGGTGCACAAAATATGGTGGTCACGTGCTTTGGGTGCTAACCTCCGTTTTCCCAAAACAAAACAATCAACCGTCTTTAGAAAACAATGACACCCTACGCTCCCCGAGAAGACGCAAAATACAATGCCAAGCTGCGCCAAGCTGCAAGATATACAACCAAAGGCGCACTAACATAATATGCAGCGGCAAAGCTATCTACACTCTCAATGACCTCATTAATTCCTCTCTTCTTATCCCATTCCCTCTCAACAACCTTCCCCTCCCCACCCCGAAAGCTAAAGATGAGTTTGACATACTCCTCGAGTCCGTCCTAAATGACTCCTCCATCCCAGCCGATATGCGTCAGCGCCTCCACCCGCCCAAGTCACAGCCTCTTCGACCGAATGCCATGACGTGGGCCAGCCGCCTCGACGACACGCACTACAATCTTAGACGCGGGCAGGTGCGTGCCTTTGACGAGGACAGCAAATACTATATGCAGATATGGCCAGGCCAGTACAGTGGCCGGGATTACCTGTGGGAGGGCGTGCGGCTGCTCGAGGCGGTTCCGTTCGAGAGCGGGTGCATTGGCTGCATTGTGGCGGATAACTATATGGTGGAGGGGAATGAAAACCTGACAGGGTCGATCCTGCGCAGCGAACTGCTCTGTGCATGGTGTCTGGTTTGTCGGCAGATGCAGGAATACCCGCATCTTAGGCAACTGAGTGTGCGTCGATGTTTTTTTCATATTCTTTTCTCGACGCATCTTCTATCTTACAATGCTGACATTCGTTCTCTGCAGGTCTTGATTATTACCATGACTAGCAGATTGATGCGGGTCATACAAGCTATTGTACCAGACACCAAGGCGCTTACTCTGGAGAAACCTGCTATTGCGATGCGCGTTGTCTGGCAGCAGGAGCTGGACTCTATGACTGGCGAGACTGATGACGGGAGAAACAACTGGAGGCAGGCCCTAGGCTGGCTAGTCTTCAACACAAAGACTGAAGATCAGGTGTTGGTTCTGCCCAAGAATAGGTCAGCAGGCGCAGGTCCTGGACGTGCTGTTTCGCTTCTATCGGAGCGGCTTGTCTCTAAGCCGCTGCTGCATGGTTTGTCATCTGATGAGGGGTCAGACTCGGTTTGGGATAGCTGATTATAATTCGAATTGATGTGGACATTCTGGAGCTGATCCAAGCTCAGATAGTCCTCTACGACAGGGACAATGCCGCGCCAAACGTGCGGTTTCCGAGACTCAATATGAGTGAACTTTTATTAAATGCGCAAGAAGATGGCGGTCATGATGCTGCTCTCCTTCCGGTCACCAATCTGGATTGTACAAGTCTAGGTCCTGGATGACGTGTCCCGCGCTTCAAAGCAAGATCGGCAGGGCCCTGTGCACAGGCGAGCTATTCAGCGCGGAATATTGGTTGTGTCACCCGAATGGCTCCGAGCGATGCATCCTAGCTCAGGGGCGCTCGTGGTCAGCACCAAGGGCAAGGTGGATCGCTTCCCCGGGGCCACCTGCGTCATTACCAAGCGGAGGACAGCAGGCCGGCGGCGCGAGGCGCTGGTGACGTGGGAAATACTAAAGGTTGGCTGCGTCGGCTATGGCACTATCGATGCGGAGGCCGAAATGCTCATAGTCAAGCGCGACTGGCTGGCACCAGTCATCGAGAGCCTAGCTAGAGCCCTCAATCTTCCTGATTATGGCTCTCTTATCGATGATTTGAAGCGCGGTTGTGTCCTTGTCATTCCCGATGTAGACAAGGACGAGCGTATAGCTTCGGCTGCCGCAGTGATAAGGGGCCGCGGTGCGGACATCTTGCAGCTGTTCTTTTCATCAACAACGCCACGCCCCAGGAGTTAGCGTAGGAAGATGACTCTCGCGCAAGAGGTCGCCGCGTTAGGCTGAGGGTATCGGATGCCGACGACCCGTGGGTGTCCAAACTCGACGTCGTTAGCTTGAAAAAGCCGTCCTAAATCTCTGCATCAACGCTTGCGACACCATGGCGGCAAAGGGCGGCACAGTCAACATTCGCACCGCAATATGCTGTTAGACAAGCAGGCCGCCCGAGGACAGGGACGTTCCGCAGGTAATTATGTTATCCTTTACGTGACCGATACGGGAGTCGCGATAGCCCCCGGCGTCGTTTCAAAAGCGTTAAATCCGTTGTTCACAACCAAACCACTAGGCTAGGGAACCACCCTAGGCTAGAAGGTCTATGGGTTTGTTCGCCATCCGGCAGGCAGATCTGGATTGAGTCCAAGGCAGGAAAGGGGACCACCATACGCCTCTGTCTTCCCAGACTCAAGGACGACTCCGTGGAGGACTCGAGCGCAAAAGACACCCATGTCGATCAGGGCACCAGATCTATCGTGCTGGTAATCGATGACAAGCCGGCGATTCGCATGCTGATCATTGAGACTCCGGAGGAAAACGGCTCTCGCGTGATCGAAACTGATGATAGTCCCGCCAGCCTGGTAACTCTGCACTCCGATGCCTGGATCGATCTTTGATCATCGAGGTCGGTCTTCCCGGTTACTTATATGGTCATCAGGTAGCCGACGTGGCGCAAAAGGCAGCGGCCGGGCCAGTGCTGAAGGTCGTTTTCATCACCGGCTTCGCCGAGAATGTCGCGATAGCTAGAGAGAACTAGCCACCGGCATGTTGGTTATCAAAAAGCCTTTCCGCATGGCCGACTTCACAAATAAGGTAGGTGCAAGACCTTCTCAACTAGCTAATTATCAGACCACCAAATTGCCAGACCAGTCACAAGGCGGCGGCAAGGAAGGGACCGAAGGGCAAGGGCTGTTGCAGATCAACAGCAGATAATCGCGCCACCCTACCCAGGTTCCCGCTGCGGCTCGCAATTTCGCATCTCCAAGCCCCGGCCCATCCCGCCCGCATAAATGACGGTAGAGCGCGGCTATTCCAGCAAAGGCGGCAAATCCCGCGACGCTTCTGATCAGCCGGTCGGTGAGATGGGGTGGCCAGCCAAGCAGAATCATCGGCAGGGTCAGCGTGTCGGGAAGGATCATCTTCCACATATCGATCGGGGCGGCGAGAGCGAGAACAAGGGCCAGACTAATTGCGACGATTGAGTCTAGGATCATATCATTCGACCGGCGGCCGCATCGCGGAGACCCGGCTGGTCAGTTCCTTGGTCAGGCGCCTTGCGTTGCCGCTGGTGCGCAGGACATGCAAAGTAACAAAAATCACCAGCTCGATTGGGGGGGGGGGGGGGGCGAATGTCAGTCTCCAGTGCCAAACAGCAAGCTAAGGTCCGGCATTTCCGACAGAATCGGCAGGCCGTTGTTGGTCAGCGAATTCTCCTCAGAGATCAGTCCGCCTAGCATCACCGTCTGCCTGTTTTAGACATGCAGAATCACGCCAGCGTCGTGATATTCGACGCTGCTGACGATTGGGAGACGGCCTCCCTAATGATTGCCTGCCGAGTCAGCAGCGGAGCCTGTGATCCGACCTTTAGCACCACTGGACCATTAGCTGGGGGCGAGGAGAGCAGTTTGGAAGCCATCACCGCGTCGAGCCTGGTGACGGATTACCAAGGGATTGGTCAAGGTGCCGATCACGCTATTAAATCCGGGCCCTATGGAACTGATCGCGGTGATGGTTGTGCCGGTGAACCAGATCGACTGCCTGTAGAACTTCGTGCTGCGCAGGAAATATTGCACATCGAATTCTAGGGTCTTGTTGAGGGAAACCTTGACCAAAGTGGCTTTGACGAGGATCTGTGGCTACTGCGTATTGAGACAGACTAGCCTGTTAGACAGGGTCTCCTACCCATGATCTTTGCATATGGTTCAAACGGGTCTGTATCTGTCACACTAGATTGACAGCGACATCAATGTCAGCAGCGACTTAGGATGGGCGCAAGACGGGCGAGCTGTTAGTTCTCCATAGATGACGACACAGTCGAAAGACATGGATAGATCATCAGGTTGACCATGGCCAGAAGCGTGTTGCTGGACAGGTCGGCAATAACCCTCGCTCCGGAATCTGATATCACGGCCTGCACCTGATTAATTGGGGCGATGCGCCCGATGGGCGGCACATGCCCCGGGGTGGTCGACACACTGGGGACAGCGGACGGAGCGGTTCGGCATCCTGTTCAAGTTCGTGTTCCCCAGGCCGCCAGAAATGGGCAAGACAACGACAGCCGGAAAGATAGGCAAGGCGTTTCAAATAGGGGATACGATGGGCTTCCTAATATTATTGAAGTTGCGGCTAAGTGTTCGCGATGACCAAGTAGTTTTATGATGATGCAGTCTTCCTGATAGCCCAGTGCCAGGCTACCAACCTCCGTGTCAGTTGTGATGCTTAGCGATACTCTCCCAATAAGCTCTATCACTCCCCCTCCCACCTTACGCACCGAGTTTGCCAGCCCATCCCAGTTCTCCTAACGGCCTGCCTAGCGCTAGTCGCCGACTCGCCTATCCGACTGCCCCCTAGAACCACATAGTCTGCTGTGTAACTGATTTGAGGTATATGACATCCCATAAGCAGGCCTTAATCCTCATAGATTACTGGCACTCTTTGAGATCCAGGGGTGCGTTAGAGATGCCAAAGTATCGACACAGTCACAGCTAGTTACTGCACAGCTTGTAGAACTTGTTGATTAGTTTGATTGGACACTCTGCAACACCCCTGGGAGAAGGGGGATTAACCCTGAAGACCAGTTCTAGTGACGAAGAGCTTAAGGATCAACTCATTTCGCACTTACTGGGGTTACGGATCTCGACGTCTTTCGCTAGGGCGTTCCAAGATAAGTACTAATTATCTAAACATGATCAAACCAGCCAGGAGGGAGTTTTTTCTACAAGAAGGCCGGTGCTTACCACAAAAACATGCAGAAGAGCATCAAGGCAAGCGCCTAGACACTTTTGTTATTGTTCAGCTATCTCGCCTTGTCCGCGGAGACGAGCTTTTGCTCAACCTTCATCGGCAGCTTTTGCGGATGCCGCACTGTGAAGTCGAAGCTGAAAGTTTTGATAATCAGACGCTTGAGCTGGATTATTATCTTGGACATAGAGCTGTCGTTAGGGGAGAAGACTGATGCAAAGACTTCCTGGGGAGAGGTGTCTCGGTTTGATCCACCACTCCTTGTTCGGTGGACTAAAGCGACGTGCCAGTGAATGACCTTCCACAGCCGCCCTCAGGCCGCGGTGGCAATCCCTTAATACTCGCCGGGTGTTGTTTGCCTGTCCACCCCACCACCAGCAGACCCAAGAAGACTGTTTTGGAGACTATTGAACGATAAAGCCTCCTAACCATCGTCGTGGACGTTGCAATCCATTATGTCAATGAAGTAGAGACCAGACCAGTAGCATCCCGCCGCATTGATTTGAATTGCTATCACTTGGAAAAACATGCCTATTTCACGGCCTTAAAGCGGGACTTTGAGGACACATGCCACAATTTGAAGATGTGTGTTTGATAAACGAAATCAAAAAGACGACAAGGAGTGGCTAAGTGATGAGCAACGTCGTTGGCAATGTTGACAGATGGCTTCTCATCATGCCAAACATCACTTCGTTATCCCCGATGATGAAGTCAAGCAGTCCTTCCGCTCCTCCTTGCCGCCGGCCCAGGAACTGGTGGTGAGGTACCTTTCAGGATGCCCCAACGCTGAGGACCCGGACTTGGGGGATAGGCATGCTCTGGATTCCTCCAGCCCGGAGGGCTTTCTCGTCGTCGTGGGCGCCGAGGTCATGGACTATGCGTAGGATGGGTAGGTCGTCGTTATTATTCCCAAGGCATTGGCCGCGGCGCCTAGCGGATGTCGCTTGCTGCTGCTATGCTAGAATTAGTCACACAATGTTTGTTCGAGCCTATCAGTCAGGGGCTGATAAATAAGTGGGTTGGTGTGGCTTGTTATGTGTACGAAAAAAATATATAACAAGCCACACTGATCCACTTTCTAGCGCATGCAGTCAATCATCAGGATGGTGTGGCTGAACAAGTTTGTGTGTACCATTGCGCCAAGGTTATCAGCGACTGGGTTGTCCTTGCCGCTGGCAGTAGGCGCCTGCGAACCGTGTCGCAGCGCCCAGGCCACAGGCAAAGCCGGCCATGGTGAAGAGCATGTGAGGACTGGCACCTTGGGATGGAAGCTATGGCAAGAAGAACTGGGGATACGGATGCAAAGTTGTGTGTGGTAAGGACAGGCTCGCCAAGCGGAACAGCAGCGTCAGTGTGATAATTAGTGGGAGGGGGGGTGCTGGTCTCGCTTTAGCATGACAGTCTCCGGCGCTGTGATGTCGCACAGTATCGACTGCGGAATCCTCTTATCTAGCGTCAGCAGCTCGAATCCCTGGCCGACGCCACAGCTAAGTAAATCTGGAAGATGTTTAGTGACGCAGAGGGAGAATCCTGATGTTTCCCAGCACATACAATCCACATTCCCGGAAAAGAATTTTCGTCACAGGTAAAGGAACAGACATGACAGCATCCTCAGCAATACAGTACTGGCAAGCCTCAAAGCAGTCGAGAAATCAATGTAGATCATAAGCAGGAGTGGAAATAGCAGAGAATGTAGGCGTTGCTCAAGCAGGTTCTGCCGCTTGAGGTCCCGGTAAAGCACCCGGTTCTAGTAGCAGAAGTCGATGCCCTCAAGGAGACAAAGTTCTGGTGATATTGGTCTTCCAATTATATCTTACGTTTGGGGTATATGGAATCCACTTGCGTCCTCAAGATGCTTCTCGGAATGCTTCACAAAGGAAGACCCACCATTCCTGTTGGATGGCAGGGACGACTTGGATATTGGTTGATCTAGACATAATGACATTGATGGCGAGGGACGGGGGAGCGGAGGGGGTTCACGGGGGGAGCGGGAGGGAGGAGGTGTTTGGGGTTGGGCTGTGAGGACCGGGGGGGACAATCCGAAGACGGAGATCTCGTACAACTTCTAGCGACACGCAGATTTCTTAGGCCCATGGTACCATTCAAATATCTTGGCCGTGACTGTTCAAGTAGACACCGCTTAAGCCAACTCTAATCAGGCCATCGCCTTCAGCCGTGTCTCCCCGTCCCGGGAGGCGTTACCCCGCCGTCATGACGTCAATTGCACCCTGCATGCGTATTGGGCTGGTAGTTTTCAGGCTAATAAAGGGCTCCGCGTAGTAGAGTTATTCGTGGAAGTGGAACTCGGCAGCGACGTAGCGACCGCCCAAACAGCAAAGGAGCTCAAGCAGCAGGGCGCAATGGAAGCTTCGTGCAACCCTAATAGCTTCGTCTCGGCAGACGACGCCCAAAAGTCCATTTAGAATATCGGGGGAGATACAGCACCAAGCGGTAGAGGCAGTGACGCCGAGGCAGCGCTGGAGAGGAAGGCCAGCTTCCACGATAGTCGCATCGCCCGCGGAAAGGTCCGTCTCCTTCCCGAGACTGAAATGTCGTCAGTCAACGGAAGAAGGAGGACGTCGTACCTGCTCACGCGGCTAGGAAGAAAGATGGGTGACTTCCCAATTGAACTATCGCTTACCAAGGGGCTTATCGCGGCAGTCGACATAGGATGCGCCGATGAACTGGACCAGGCCAGCGCCCCAGCGCCGCTCTGTCTCCCAGTTCTCGACATAGGGGGTGATCCTCGCGAGTAGCGGCGGCCTCGTGAAGGTGAGCGTCCGGATGTTGTAGTCGAAGCCCGCGGTGCGGACGGCGTCCTTGTGCAACTCGGGGGCGCCGGCCTCCTCCGACAGGACAAACTAGGTGCCGACCCAGACCGCTCTGGCGCCTATTATCAGCGGTTCGGCCAGCAGCTGGCCGTTATGGATGCCGCCTACTGTGCCTCTGGGCTGCTTAGACCTTAGCTAGACGACAACTCACATCTCCTAGCTTGGAATATCACGAACCAGCCAGCAAATCTGTCAGACACCTTACACATCCGTCACATTGGACCAAAAAGGGCTACAACTAGCTCCTGCAACACGAGATAGACTTGGAAAAAGAGTAAAAGGGAATATGACGTTAAACTCCTACCTTCATGTCAAAGACGTATTTGTATTGCGCATAGCAAGCTTGTAGTCGGGTGGTGCATGGATTTGCCAGTTTTTGGTCCTCCCGAAAAGGAGCAGACTGCGTTTCCGTCTGGCCAATGAACGCAGCCGCCACCAAAACATATCCGTTTGCTCCTTCCCGTTCCCCGTCAAGCTTTTCTTCGCTGTCCCGTTTTTCTTCTCTTCTCTTCTTCTCTTCCTCCTTTCATCATCTCAGATCATTGCCAGAGGTAGCCTTTCCATCTATTTTCGCCGCTCAATCCGCCATTTTTGGTGCCCCTTTTCCGCCAAACCATCAGATATCTCTTCATTCTGCCCGCGCAGCACTGCAAACCCTGCAAACCCTGCAAACGCCAAACTCAACCCAACTCCAATCGGCATTCCGTCCTCCAATTCACGTCGAAGACCATCTATCCATAATGTCCCAAGGCTACGATACCGTTTCTAGCAATGGGGAGCGTGTATGTCCTTCCTCATCCCCCCTGATTGCATCCCCTTAACTGCATGTCTCCTTAGCTGCATCACTGGATAACCGCAGCTAACATCTCCTCCCCCAGACTTTCCGCGGCATCCCCCTTGCAGCCCTCCAAGGCAACACCGCTTGCCTCAAGTGGACCACAGACGACCGCGTCAAGTTTGACGCCCACCTAGCCCGCCACCGCGTCAGCAAAGCCAACACCTCATACATGTTAGACGAGCTCTGTACTGCTATCGGTGCAGGCGGCATCGACTCGCTCTGCCTCCGCAACATACAGCGCCGCATCCGCGACACGCTTATCCAGCGCCTCGACAAGTTCGAGCGGGACGGCACTGTCCGCTTTGTCGTCGATCCACGCACTGGCGGCATCAATGCCATCTGGCCGCGGTGGACGCAGGAGTGGGCCGAGGAATCCTGGGATGGGTGTGTCGAGTCGCCCTGGGCCTGGACGTGGAAGTTCGAGGAGACGGGCCGTCCGTATGAGGAGATTGATGAGGATGAGTTCCTTGGGGTTGGCATCGACGACGACGACAACGGGCACAATGGAGACGATGGGAACGACAGGGACGACGACCGCGGTAGGTATCGTGACGGGAATGCTCGCCGGGATGTCCGGCTAGGCCGCTCGGCGAGTCCCCTTGCCGTGCGCATCGCAGGGGGTGGCCGCAGGTCGCCAATCCGGCGTATGCCATTGAGCGCAGACGGTCGTGCCTGCTCCCCCTATGTGGGCACCGCAAGGATTATCGACCACCAAGGTGACCAGACAATTCGCGCCTCTGCTCCCCCAGATATGAATACCCGGTCAGGCGGCGACCTCAGTGCGGCAGGAACCCCGATTGCTGCCAACTCGATCGCCGACCCTGGTCTCCACCCCGATCCTCCTCTTCTGCACAATGGGGAGGCAGCAGAAACAGCCGCGCCGTCCCCCCTGGAAGTGATGCGTGCTATACGCGACCGGCTCAGCTTAGAGCGCCATGCCCGCCAGCGCGAGCATTCCCACGTCGTGGACCTGCGGACCCCATCGCCGCAGCGGGACACGGCGCGCGACGCCGACCCGCACCGCAACCACGCATACTTGGAGGGCCAGCCGTATGACATCGATGACCCAGAGGCGCACAGCGCGTGGCTGGCGTCGCATGCTTGGGGCTATGGTGCTGTGACGCAGGCGGTTGTGCATGCGGCTGCGAGGGACTTGTTTGAGATGCAAGGGTATGGTCGTGTGGGGCGGAGGGAGGAGGTAAAGAGGTGGTGGAATGCGGCGGGGTTGGAGGAGCTGAGGATGGAGAGGGCGTTGGAGGAGATGGGAGGGGTTGATGGGGAATTCTTGGGGGCGTTCCTGAGGGCAGCTCGGTTGGATGCTGAGGAGTTGGATTGGTAGATACTTGGTTGGCGATCTGGTCTGGGATTTGGTAATTGGATCATTTGGGTTACTTGGAAGTTACTGCTTGATAAATGGAATGGATAGACTTCATGTTGGGCATAGATTTAGGTACTTAGTCCATGGATTGTCTTTGATTGAAATGGACACGAAGTTCCCTCTGTATGTAAGCATGCACACATAAAGGTCCACTTCAAGCTGCAGCACGGCAGGCGTTTTATTCCATTCACCCGTGGATTTGGCTGGCACAGCTCTCATAGCAGAGCAGAGATATACCGGGTATGGCAAAATGTGGTAATAGTGTTAGGGATGTCGATACGTTGTAGCGGTTTGTACTTTTCCGCATGCATCAACCTAGGTCACAGTGCGGTAGCAACTGGCAGCGTAGTATCGGCAGCGCAGTATCGGCAGCAGTACCGGCACCGCAGTACTCTGAATCATGCCTGGACTGACGATACTGGCGATACTGACTATACCGGCAAGATTGTCGATGCTAGGAATGCTGCTAGTACTGAGCGACCATGGTGTCTTGTGGGCATCATCTTGCTCTCGGGCCGGTATTCCACGATACAGCCGAGGTTGCAGGACTCTATCTCGTACCCCGGCATGCGCGGCTTGAAACTCACCTGCTTGTCGCCGCCAAAACCTTGACGGTGCGCGCACCCACGAGCTCGGCCACGTAGACTAGTTCGCTCAGGTGGCACGTTAGACCCTCGTCGATGTAGCCTCTTCGAGTCTAGGCTGGCGAGCCGACGTAGCAGCATCTTGGTGCAGTCCTCTAGCACCTCCCGGTATTTTCCGGCCCCCGTGCTCCGGATCCTGTCCGCAATTAAGTCGAGTGTCTTGATAATAGCCATCGGCTCGACAAGCTTGTCGTACAAGTCGGTCTAGTTGCCCATCTCGTCTGCCGTGATCGAGCTGGCTTGGAAACTGCCCTGATTCCTCAAACTTGCGAGATAACAGGATCGATCTCGACGATCTTCGGGCTTGGCAGGTCGTAGCTTGCCTTAAGTAACTGCGGCAGGTGTTGGAGTAGGCTGTTGGCGATGCTGGTGAACACGCTGTTCTACCCCGTCCGCGCCGGCAGCCATCTTTGCGCCTGCGACGGCTTTGGTGACGCGCATCAAGATGACCCTCGGCAATCATGCCACGTGCAGGTTGTGACGTCCTGTCTCTCGCTGTACCAAGACCAACTAGATGTAGTTCTGGTCAAACTTGAGGTAGAAGGCGATCTACCACGGTAGCATGGTGTCCAAAAACACCTTAACCATCACATCCAATCTATTCACAGTAAAGTACACGCCAACCGCATAGTTATCCCAGTCTTTGGCATGACCTTGTCGTCGCTCAGCGGAAGGCAGTAGCTAACAAGCCGCTGCATCAGCACTGAATCGACCCATGCTATGATCGACTGGATGTTCTTGGTCGTCGACGATTGAGACAACCCTACGGGATCGAAAACACGAACGGCAACCCGGTTCTTGTACCACGATTCCCAATTATTAAAAGACGAAGTGGAAGAACCAGAAACAGCTTCAATGACAGTAATGTCTGGACGAAGGATGCTGTTGTCGTATAAGATGAGAGACTTCATCTCCCTAACCTTGACGCCAGCCACCTTTAGCAGGCTCTTAACTGCCTTATTCTCCCATTTGCGGTTGAGCCTGCGAACGAAACTGGTTGTTGTTTAGCATCTTGGGTTCGAAGATGAAGAACCTGTAGCCCTTCTTTGACTTGTGCGCAAAGATGATCTTGGTGACGTAGTCCACGGGAATGTTGCAGAGCAAGTTAAAGAAGAGCAGCACAGCGGCTTGCACAAAGCAGTCCTGGGACAGGCGCTGACAGTAAAATTCGCCCGCATTATTTTCAATAGCCATCCCGCGCTGCCTCTTTGCATTGTGCCTGTTGGCCGTCTCGAGGTCTAGGTTCGGTACCAGATCGTCAGCCAATGTTTCCTGACCCATGTGTCAAGTTGGAACACCAGAAGAATACCGGAAGGATACCACTCGGCGAGATGTCCTCTTCCACAAATACCGGGTCGACCACACCTAAGGTCAAGCTTTGCAGGCCGCCGCAGTTCTACAGCGCTTATAGCGGCAATCTCCTTTGCAGAGGCGGGATTCTTAGCCAAGTGCAGTCTATCGTCGCTGCCCAAGTTGAAAGCAGCCATGGCTAGGCCCAAATTCTAGCCACGAAAGGGAATTCCCATCACAGAAATGACCAATTAGGGGGTTGGGGTCGGAACTAGAAGCAGGTTCCAACGGCCTTTGTAGCTGCGGGCGGCGTGCTACCTAGGCCTACCAGCGTTCAGGGCTCGTGTGGATTGTCGCAAGTTTGCCCCGTTCAGGAGTGATGAGATGGTACGCGTAAGTTGGCCGCGGACATTTCACCCTCTAGTGATTGGAACCCATTGCGCATCAGTGGCTCTTCCCAACAGGTCAAGAATTATTTGCCTGTCGGAGTCCTAGCGCAGAGGTTACCCATGGAGTGTTAGAGGTTGCCCAGTCCATCTTTAGTACTGCAGTACCGTAACAATACCATAATTCCGGCACTATAATGCTGGTAATTACCCTCTTCCCGTCCTTCGAGTGTATATACGCGGCGGAAAACCCGTAAGGTCAGCTGTAAACTCCAAAGACTCAGCCGATCAAGCTATTTCGCAATCTGCAGCGGCAGCATGTTGGGGAGCCGGCAGAGGTCATTCAGTCTCCCAAAGCCTTCGTTCCACAACAATCCAGAGTCTCAGCCCATCCTACTCTCCCATAACTCCAGAGGGTCTGACAGTCATCGCTATTTGCTGCCAGGATGTTGTGACCCCCAAGGGGTGTCCCAAGGGTTCCAGCCAACAAGGCTCAGGGTATCAAGGACCAGTTTGCCACAGAAGGAGCAGATAAAGGAAGATAATTTGCTGTCAATGATAATAAAGCTAAAGGAGTGAGTAGGAAATATTTACTGACAAACCCATCTTGGCTAATAGGAAGCTTGATCAGGTATTAACAAAGTGGAATCGAAGTTGAAATCGGAATCGGAATCGTCAGAATCGCAGCCGCTGTCAACCGCAGACAACCTGTCGAGCGGTATTGGGCCTTGTTGCCATAACTGACAGGTATTACAATCGTCGAGTTTGAACTTCGCAACGACAAACATTTTCCCCTACATGACAAGCTCAAGTTCCCCGAGTTCCGCCTAACGACGACGTCAGGTAAACAGCTTCTCAACTATGACCTACTGGCCTGTGGCTTGTGGCCTGCACTGCGCGTGGGGAATTTGAGAAGTGTTTGAGCATGCGGATTGTCTCCGTGTTCCTAGTCTGCCGCATGTGGAGCTAAACGCCGACCGAAAGCCTAGAGAGGGCGCTGGCTAGGCCGTCGCTAGTATATACAGTAACATCTGCTTCAAGGGGCTCTGGTTGTTCCAGACGCGCTTACTTATGGGGAATCCATGACTAGCAACGTGGCATCTCCCTAGACAATAGAGAAATGAGATCTTCTAGTGGTTGCAGTTTAACGTCTTCCCCATCATCCACACCAAGCTTGGTCTTGTAGGCAGCAGCATTAGCAGCGCACTTGTCTATGGCTAGGTAAATGCGCACACAGCGTTTCTGCCACCCTGTTCTGGCACGTAGTCCAAACCAGATAGGTTCCTACCACGTCGCAGCACTAAGTTAAAACTCTGCCTCCTCTCTCTTCACCTTACCTTCATGCACTACTTGCAGATTTGGAAGCACTTGGAGGTAAATATTGCTCTGCGCCCTGATTCTTCACCGACACAACCATTGCAGATACCAGCAAAGAGGCAGGTTAATCTATTAAACCAAAGCTCTTTGTACAGTACATGCCAAAGGACGAAGCAGACTATGGAGCCTCCATGCCACTTTCTCGGGATTGGCGAGGGATATGGGGTAATACGTGACCAAGACCGCATTGCATGGCGAGAAGCGGGACGGCGCGTCAAGCTTATCAAGGAACGCGGAAGGGATGCAAGCCTTGTAGACGTAGAGGCATCTTCCGTTGTCGGAGAGGGCGAGAAGGAGAACCTTGTGGGTACGAGCAAGTTAACGGTCACGGTCATGTGGGAAATGTATCTTGAACGTACGTTGAAGGAAGACGGTGCCATCTGCGACTCCCCTTGTGTGTCTCGAGGGGAGCTCAATGCTGCCGCGGAGTGTGAGTCTGGTTGTTCGGTAGAAGAAGTCGCGCAATCCATCGTTTTCAGGCCCGTGTTCTGCCACTGCCACTGCCGGTGCCGCTGCCTTTGCTCTTGGGCGAGGGCGATCAATATGGCGATGATGTATGGATCTTCGGCCTCGCATGGGGGTCGAAGACGTCGCAGATGCTTCTGTCTGAGACAGGATACAGGATAGTTATCTTTCCTGAGAGGGGTATTGTGGATGTATTTCCAGCGCATCAAGCCGAGGGTGCGGAGCTCAACGAAGGCGAGGGAGGAAGTGGCTGAGCGGGACGCGAAAAACCCCCCTGTTCGGAGCCTTTTGGCTACCCGGGTGCCGAACCGGAATGGCAGACTGTCATACCTAGCATAGGCAACTGTTAGCAATGTGATTGGGATGCGATGTGTTATTACGAGAAGGCCTGAGGTTACCGAAGGGGATGGATGTCGTGTGCAGCAAGAATGTCTTCAATGGCAGACTTCTTGAGTGATGGCGAGCAAAGTTGACGAAGCTGATGTGCCGCATTGAGAGTCACTTGGTATTGCGTGCTTTGATGGTGTTTTATGCCCTTCTCGTCTGTAGCAGATTCTGGCTTTTTTGAACTGGGTTTATTGGCGACGAATTGGCAGTCCAAAAGTTTCAGTTGACTCGAAGTCCAAGCTATTGGGGGGACATAGAGACGAGTGTGGCAATGTTCGTGAATGATTGCGTTAATTGATGCTGGTTCCGGGGTGTCGGTGTTTCGGGAAGGAATAGGAGTTGCCAGCTGTGGCTGCGTTGCTGAGAGGGAATCTGAGGATGTGGAACAATGGCGCTCCTTTCGTTTCGATGGTACATTACCATTAGGAAGATCTGTAGAAAATTCGCAACCACCTGTCGGAAACAGCAGCGATTTAGACACGGCCATCTTAAGGCGAATAGACAGCTAGCGTGGTCAGTTTTAACGTGATGTGAGTTGTTTATTTTTGATGTGGAGAAAAGAGATGCGGAGGAGGGGTTAGCGCCGGTACTAGTCAGGTGATCACAGACTCTCGGTTGCCTTTGTGACCAACCAGGGGTACGGTCAGATTCAAGGTCAGGTGACCAACATAATTAAGGCCCAAATGCCGCTAGTACTCCCATTCATAACGGGATTAGGTGTCAAAAGAGGGGTGAGTTTGGCTGTATTTTAGTGGGTCGAGACTTGTGGATACACACACCTTTTAGTTCCGTAATATAATTTTGACCCACTCAATCCAACAGGTAATACTCACTGCCATTCACGTGACATCCCTCCATTCTCCCATACTGCCCAACATTGGCGCCTAAGGTGTTACAATCGAAACATCGCAACATTTCTTGGATTAAACACCTTAAACATTCCTCACTATACCCACTTTTGCTATCTCAGTTGCTATCCTCATTCTTACATAAGACCCGTTGATATAGCCCCTGGGATCTACTCAGCCGAAACTCAGCAGACCTGGAGAGATTATCAGAAGAGCAAAAGGGCTTGCGAGTTACGTCACAGCTCAACGAGAAAGAGTTAAACAGTCCTGCCAGCGGGTGGACTTATAGGCATTTAATTGCCTATCACCTTCTTACCAGCCCAGCGAAGCCCTACCTGACGATCTTTAAAACCGACCACGACAACGAGTGCCCAGTCTGCAAGCCTCATAAGCCATGTCGGCAAAGGCTTGACGGGGTTCTGACTGACGATCCTTGTCCTCGAAATCTGTTCCAATGCACAGAATCAGAGCTTATGCGCCTTCCCAATGGGGCTTTCTGGGTCGCACTTGCACGGGCAACTCGCCCCGAACCGCTTGGCGACGAAAGATCGCACCCCCAACGAGAGAGAAAGCCGGTGGTAAGAAACGATCAAATGGATTCCAGCACCGTCATTCCAGGGTCCTCCTCGCCTACGATGCCTTCGTCGTCCGAATTCGAGGTTTCTTTAAATATCGATGGCATCGACGAGGATGAGCATGAAGCGCGCCGGAGAAAGCCTGAGGAAGTGACCGTACATCTTGTCATTTGTTTCCTCCAACTTTTCCTCAATCTCTGGCTCGTGCAGGACCCTCACGGAACCACAGAAGTGCGACCGCGGATAGAATGCAGAAGGTCGGAGATTCGTACCGGAGCAGGTAGCGTTCTCGCCGAAGACGACGGAGGGATCTGTACGATGGTGCGGAAGGCTGGGGGGTGGGCAATGAAGCATCCATTCCTAGCCTTGCTTGAAGCAAAAAGGGCTTTCAAGCAGATTTACTTCGACGAGCATACCGGAGAGGGCAAGCCAATTGCCTCGAATGAGACCCTAGCTCAGTGCCTCGGCGAGGCAGTTGTTACATGGAGAGCAAACCCAGATTACTCCCAGCAAGAGTGCGGCTCCTTTTTACCCCTTTACTTATTTGTCACTACTTATGCGAAGCGATTAACGCATGCCTTCATCTTATAGCATCTTCATGATTGCAGCAACTAACAGTTTCCTGCGTTTCATGCACTTTAGGTTTGGTTTGCATTACTTGGATTACCTTGACGCTGCAGATCCAGTCCATCGACGGGAGGCGAAACGCACTATGCCATATCCTAGCGCTGTTAAGATGGCATGATGCCCACAGCACCCTTGAACTTTCTGAGGGACAAGAAGATACTGATGACTCTATGGAAGAGGATATCGAATAAGCGGCATTGCGCTGATGACACGAATATCGACCCAGCTGTTGTTTCGGAAGATTGGAAAGAAAGGCATTTGACAATAGTATTATGAAATTGACTGCTGTACAGGGGCATCTGACGAATTCACTGGAAACGTCAAAGTCTTATGGTATAAGGTCTTTGCAAACCCCAAAGTCTTCGTCAAGTTGCAGGTTATTGGTCCAAACCGAGTCCAGTTGGCTCTCCAGCTGGGCCGTAATTCTCGGCGTTCCCCCTGCGGTCCATGGACCCGTTATCGAAGGAGAACGACGGGACGTGGGACTTTCCCCCTGAAAGTGATGCTTATGCCGTCTTCGAAACCCAATCGTGCATCCCAGCGGCCGGAATGCATGAGGTGCCCGTCCCATCCCAGCCTAGCCTGGCCCCCCAGTTTGGGGGTATTGGCGTGATTGCAGTCTATCATGCAATTGCCATGCAACATTCCAGTCCCTAATATCATCCTCAATAGTGCCAAGCAGCGCGTCTGCCATTACCTGGCAAAGATTATCGTCGGCTGCTTATTGCCTATGTAAGCGGCTGTTGCCCTTAATCCTCACTCAATCGTTATCATCCGCTGTATCTAGTTACTGCCGCCCCTGGTAGTCTGTGAAGTAAGAGAGATACAAGAGCGTGGCAAGGAGGTTCCTCGCTCCTCAGATGCCTCAGGTGCCCCAGAGTTTAGATGTGGCTCGTCTTTGGACCAGCGGTCGTCACAAATGGCAATCTCGCCAGACCGCACAAGGGTGTCGGGCACCAGTTCGCAGAAGAGGCCTGGGCCTGCGACCCTGTCGAGAAAGGCCTGCTTGACGGCTTGGAGTCTGTTGAGAAAGGCAAGTTCAGGTCAGTTGTGGATTACGGAGCTTTTGCGACTCTGGACCGGCAACATCGAGGTCTTCATGTGCTTTAGGTAGGGTATCTCTGGAGTCTAAAGCGTTTCCGTCGTTAGCCCTCTCAGCGACAGCGGTGGGACGTCAGTCAAGGCGCCGCACATGTCAAGGCCAATGATCGGGACCTGAGAATCGGGGTCCCAGCTGGTGGCCAAGGTGATCAACCAGACCAAGATCAAGGAACTGTCGATTATTGTTTCTCCCCTTTAGAAGCAGGAGATTATTGTCTAGGGTGGCTAACCAGAAAGGAAGCAGCATCGCCAGCCCATCTCTTCTGACCAGTTATCAAGATGGGGTTGGAAAGGGCTAATAGAGAAGTAATGCCAGCTTCTACTGTTAGGGACAGGCGCCATTATCTCCACAGGCATTGCATAAGTAAACTAGCAAGTCGTCAGCAAGCTCCATGCCATCTGTTGATCAGTCCCATCTCGAGCCGGTGCTGACTCCATGCTCATCGTATTCATCACCATCGCCATAATCATCATCAAGCGGCTCAACCGCGTCGTCCGAAGCTGAGGCAATCATGTCCGCCTTACCTAACTCTAAATCACTGGCTAGCGAGGTTGCACATGCTTTTACCATGACCTTCTCAACCTCACTGCCAATTTTGCACTATGATATAGACATGTGTCTAGAATGTAAGGCCGACATTCTTAAAGGGTATCAGCGCCAAGATGACCGCCTGGACATAGTATGCCGTCCGATCGATCACGTCATCCGTCAGCAGCCCCACCGAGCCGTTCCGCTGCTTGGAATTCGTCCGCCCAAAAACCACGTCGTCGGCGTCGCCCAGCTCCATGCCCTCACGCACAAGCTTGGCCGTTTCCTGGGACAAGTAATATGTCCCGGTGCGCGCCTTGCCCGTGTGGCCGTCCTTGCCCGCGATCACAACCCAGGCGAAGGAGCGGAGCGACCCCGCATGTTCCTCAACCCCGCCTTCAATTCCCACCCAGTAGTCTGCGTTGGGTTCGAGCGTGCGGGCATTGGCTGCGCGGTTCTGGGCGCCAAGAAGGGTGACGTCGTCGGATAATGGCTGGTCTGGGACGCCGGAGGGGACGGCGATACCGCGGGCTGAGTATGTGGTGCTGGGGAACATGAGGGAGAAGCCTTGAAGGGCGGCGTTGATCTTGACGGGGTTTTGCGATGCGATGATTATTGCCTGTGGGGGATGTGCTTGGAGGTTTGGGTCGTCTTGCAGCGCCATGGTGGGTTAGAGAGCATCAACGGCTTGAGTCAAACTTGGTCTTTGATAGGGAATCGATTGAAGTTATAAGCAGGTGTGGATTTTAGCAAGCATGCAGGTACAAAGCACATACCAGGCCGAGAGGGCTTGTTCTGCAGCCCCGCCTTCGCAACTCCGACGTCGGACCTGAATCATCTCAAAGAGAATCAATCGCGCAAGATGGCAATAACCGCCATTCCAGCAGCTTCAGCCAAGTGCATCTCCCGTATTTCCTTAATTATATAGTGATCCCATCAGTCAATAGACAACTCGATTCGATACCGCTATCGCTAGTCAGTTCAGCCTACCGGCTCGAAGCCTTGATTCTAAACTGCAACGGGTTGGCAGTAGCCTTGTGCGCCGTCTCGGCCGCGAGCAACAATGGCGTCTGGCCTGTCTTGTCTCGCGACTAGAGATCAGCCCCCTTCTTGAGTAGCAGTTTGGCAGCAACGCCGTTGCCGCCCATAACCGTGCAGTCCGGCAGTCCTCTTTGTATTTTGACTCAATCTTTGCTCCCTCGTTATGCAGCAGCTTAAAAACGGCTCTGCAGTGTGGTTGATCGACCGTTACTGGCGGCGGCCTCACCGCTTTGCGTGGCATGTCAGGATCAGGTACAAAACCCAGCACCTAGTCTGATGCGAGAGCGGCGTTCTCGACGTCGGCTCCCATATCGATCAGTTGCTTGACGACGTCCCCAAATTTGCCGTTGGTCGACCGCCGCGGTGCTAGCTCTGGGCGACGTCACTTTGTCTATCGAGCAACAGATCGACAACCTTATTCCAGCACGGCAGCAAATAACAGCCCTGCCGGGCTGTCCCCCAATTGATCGACAAGCTGCGCGACTGCCATCCCCCGTCCTGCCCGCAAAGCCCACGACAGTGGCGTACTGCCCTTCCGTCTCTTGACTCCACGTCGGCTTTGCGATTGAGTAGCGGCGTCCGACCTGTTTCACCTCTTACCTATATGCCGGCTCCTCTGCCAATTGGCAGCTTGACAATAGCTTGGTAGTTGTTTCTTAGAGATTTCCAAAAGCAGCGACCCGTCAGTGGCAGCTCCATTATCTAACAAAACCTGAACAACGCCAACAAGATATCTCTCGATTGCCAAGGTAAATAGCCTCTGACTGTTGCTCGTTCTTGACTCAATGTTGGCTCCCCTTTTGAGCAGCAGCTTAAATATGGCCTTGCCACCGTCTATAGTTGGTTGCATCAGCAGCATCTAACGCTGTTGCCTCCCCATTCCATATTGACAACTTTATCAAGTAGCAACGTAACAGCTCCCTCACAGCCACGCACAGTCGCCTACATTAGCGACGTCCCTCCCGCTTTGTCTTTTGAGTTATCATCGGCTCCATTATCGAGTAACGACTTGACAACTACCTCGTGTCTCCACTCAGCGGCTCATGATAGAGGCATCCGACCAGTTTATGGGTCAGATCTAGCGCTAGATCGATGCATTAACGTGATTGCCACTTTGAAGGAAGCTTATGGGTGTGAGTTTTTTCGAAGTACTGTTGCGTCGTGTAGTTTACCAAGCGAACGGTTAAGCAATTGTCGTCGATGGTGACCAGACCTGCGCATGACGCGACGAGATCTTCTACCAGGAAGGGGTTCTCGAAGTCGAATCCCGTCTGCCTGACAGCTACGACCATAGTGTCCTTGAGTTCGAGCATGCTCAAATGCACGTATCCACGGGAGAACCTGCTTGCAACCTCGACTTGGTCCGCAATGTGTCCTTCAATCCGCTCAATGACATCCTCGTAGGCGCAGTGGTATGCCTCCAATCCAGCCGGAAGCACTCCCAATGCGGTGCGCGCTGCTGTGGCTGATTCTTCCATTTTAGGGGATCAAGATGAAGCTGTGCAAGAAGGAACCTCAAGGACAGGTTAGCGCGATGTAGTGAGAGTGCAAAGAGCCACGTACATGACATTGGCAGTTTCGAAGATGCTATTTTTTATCTCGTCTTGTAGCCTAAAAGTGAACCCTACTCATTTCGGCAGCTCCAAAGCGCGGCTGTCTAAGTAGGCACGAATATCTTCGTCAATCGCCCTGGTCTCCAAAGTTGGGCCTCTGTCAAACTCCCGCATAAGTCCCGGGATGTGCTTTGATGTTAAAAAAAGCTTTACACCAGACTCGGCCTGGATATTGGTGAGTTCGCTCAGAAACCAGGTCCGGATCTGACCGAGTCGCCGCACTTGTCAAGGCCATCGACGACGATGGAAACTCTAGAATATAAAGCAGCGACATACTGGAGCGCGTTTGACATCTCGCGCAACGACAGCCAGAACCCTCTATGCCCACTCCAGCTTGGCCAACCGGCACAGTGGGTGGTGCGGGGTGGGGAGGGAGGGGGGAGGGATTGGGGGGGAGGCTTGGTGGTCTCCGCCGACTCACGCCTGCCTATCCAAAGGATCATCACTAACTACTGTGCCGTTAGTATCGCCAATCTGTCAGTAACCATTGTCGGTATGGTAAGTAATAGCAGTACGGTCGGGACCAGCAGTACCGGCAGTGGTGAAATGCCAAGATTGACAAGCACCCCCTGGCACGGCACCCTTCCCCGGCGACACCCACTGCGCCGAAGGTTGAGTAGAAGCTGCCTACGCTTGCCGGAAATGGCTTCTGGGCTCCTTCCTTGCCCGTCGTCACATGGCCGACGATGGGGATGGACGCACAACGTTAAGGACGCCCCTCCTGATTCCGTCGGCGCACTTTGCTGAAGTTTCTTGGTTTAGACCCAAGACGTTCCATGCTACTAAGTATTTGTGCAACGAATACGACCACAGCAGGATGTAGCAGGCCACATAGCAGCGTATCACGAAGTGGCGGAGATCTCCGCAAGGAGCATCAGGATGGGCATGGGTGGGCACGGTGGGCTAAGTATTGGCGATCCGGCCGGTATGGTTGGCGGCGGCATCGCCAGTAGTCCCGGTGGGGACGGCGGAATGCCAGGGAGGATGAACTTGAGCCAATCGTGAATCAACAATTTTCTCCGGAATTGGCCTAAAGGCTTGCCTTTACATATGCAATACTGGCGTCTAGGACGTCATGGCTAAGCTAACGATAAAGCGTTGGAACACATTTCGAGGTGATCAGCCAGCGGCGTCGGAGGGGTACTTGGAACCTGATGGGTCTTGGAATCGCACCAGGGTGCCCAGCCGGTTCCCGAGTGCCGGCACCAAGAAAACCACTCCACTTTGTCCCAGGACACGAAGCGGTCGGTTTAAGATAACTAATGCAACATTGCCATGCCTATGCAGGAGGAAGAAGACAGCAACTTAAAAATCAACCCCAGCCTGCCCTATCCCATCATTAGTCTTCACAGGTGATCAAGTTAAACAGATAAAGCCTAATTGGGCTGGCAGGGTCTCAGTACTAGCAGTTAGTCCAAAGGCATGGGCCGCAGGGTTGAAGATACCATGAGTCGCATGGCTAGACCCATCCACAACAGTATCCACAACAGTATCTCGGTTTGGTTTGAAACAGAGTTACCAAGCGTAAGTATTTTGGCCCATTTTGGCTCAGCGTCTTACACAACCCTAACACACCAATGCAGCATCTCCCGTTGGTTCTATTTAGAACAGCAGAGGAGAGAGAGATTGAAAAAACGAGTCTCAAAAAGTGACAAATGTAGGCTGGAAATGGCTTGGCTAGAACATTCGGAAACAAAACAAAAGTAATGTTCGTTTATCAGAAATCAGAACCCTCTTGGCCGATATAGCGTTGGCAAAATTATAGATATGCAGCGATCGGCGAATCAGGATGGGGTCAAGTTTCACTTCAGCCTCTGGGGGTCATGGCCGGCTGTCTCCGTTGCTGGCTCGCTTCTGATTCCTCAGTTTGCGTTTGGTGCTGCGGTGGGGTGGGACTATCACGAACGACAGGCTTGGCATTAGATTGCTAGGATTGCCGGCCGGATAGCTAGTTCTCTGATCTGCATGGGAAATTCGAGATATCATAATCCTCGAATGTGATCAAGCATGTCTCAGGCAGACGCCTAGCGTTGGCTAGGCTCGGGGGTTCACAAGGTGGGAGTCCCGATAGGCTAGAATTTATTCCCACTGCTGTGCCACCCACTAATAACGCGCTAATGGTCGGTTATGTGCATGCAGGAACCACACGAAACCGACCTAGAGCTTTGGGGGAATGTCAATGGCAGCTTGCATGATGAGAGTGAGGAACCGTGTGAAAACCAGAAATCCCTCTGCTTACCGCCGATCTTCCAAGCAACGGACAGAATGTTACAAGTCACAGCGGCACAATATGTGTGGTCCGGTACAAGCCATAGATTGCCAGGAAAAGTTTGTTGCTCAAAGGAATGATGTCTTGGACGTCGGCTAAAACAACGGGTTGTCGGTGTGATAGGCGATACAGCACTAGCTAGAGATGCACATGGCCGGCGGACCGACCACCGACCAAGCCCAGAGCAAGAGGGATTCCCACCCCAATAGACAAGATAGTCAATGGGCATGACAGCCATTAGAGCGAGCATATAAGCTCTATCCTCCTCTCATCGGTGTCGTATTTCTGTTCCAGCTACACAGTCCTCAAGTATCTTTAACACCACAGCAACTGTCTTATTCGACAGCCAACACCAGGAAGTCTTTGCACATTCTCCCAATTCTCTCTCTCCGATTGCTCTACAATCTCCATCCAAACCTGCAGCCTGCATTTCCACATCACCTCAGACCACCACGATGCAACCCGCAATGCCATACCACCCACCCGTCATTCGGATCCGCTTCCGCGGTAACGCCAATGGTGTCATGGAAGTCGAACTGCCCGACAACCGTCACTTCCGCGTCAGCCATTCCAGCATGCCACCCGGCCCGCTCGAGGTTCCGGCATTCGGCCCTGTCTTCCCCGACAGCCCACCACCGCCACCCGATCCAGTCCACGGTCACGGTGGGGGCTATGCCGGACCCCCACCCCCAGTCCACCACGTCGTCGGGGGTCCTCCGCCACCACCTCATCCTCCTCCGGCGCAGCCAGTCGGTGTCGGCGGGAACCATGTTGGGTGGAACGACGTTGGCGGGAACAACATCGACCCCCCCACTATCAACGGAGGCCCGCCCGACCCTCCCTCTAGCACCCCCGCGGCCCCACCACCACTCCCAAACCCAGTCCCGCCGAACCCAATCCCCTTCGGCACTGCCCAACTGCCTAGCCCCATCATGGTAGCCGCGCCCCCCGCCTTGGAGGACACCCCAGCCAGTCCCACCCCCCTTATCGACAACATGGCCCACCATGTCCCTGGCGGCATGCTCGCCTCCGAGGCCGGCGACGCCAGCACCATTGCCGCTTCCGGCCCTGTGGACCTAGGGTTTGGTGACCTTGATGCGCAGATGCGCGAGTTCATGGAGAGCCTTACTCTGAATCGCAGGCCTGCTCCTGCTCTAGGTGCGCCTACACTGATGGATTGGGTGTCGCATTTTGTGTTTCATATCGGTGGGGTTGTGCTTGGTGTATGGATTGGGATGGTGATCATGGGCCATCGTCAGGGATAGTTTGTTGGATGACTCTTAGTCCTGACTGAGAGGTATTGTGGGGTGGGACTTGAAGCAGCTAGTTTGTATTGTAACTGTTATCTGTAGCTGATTTTACAACTACTTTGCTTGAAATCTGACACAGGCTGATGAACTTATTGCGTGCAAATGGAATGTGCATTGTGATGATAATAAGCTGCAAGCAATTTCCTCAGCTTGCCAGTGCCGATACTGTTCTGTGCCGACACTGACCCCTGTGCGTCAAGCCCCTGCACATCTCTCAAACAGCGTCACCTCTTAGTCTACCTGACGGTTGCTTCCACCTGTCTTCGCAATAAGTTTGAGATTCACGTCATCTCGGATAAGGACCCTGGCATCAGCACGAACAACTTGCGAACTTCAACCACATACGGCAGAGTCATACGCAAACACTTAAAAACAGCAAGCGCAGGCAAGACCACTTCCATATTGGGAATCGATACGGAGAATGATATTGAATGCCACTTCCATTTTGGGGATGGATACGTACAAGAACACTGAACGCCACTTCCGTCTTGGGATCAATACATTAACACGCGGAAGGTAAAGTGTATGGGCGCTGCCGCAAAGAAAAGAGCACCGCCCATTTGCTCCTTCCAGTACGAGGCGGTAGTCGACATAATGCAGTTGCTCAGACCACTGGCCAAGTTGCCTGTCCTGGAGGATCTCCGAGGGCGACAAGTCGGTGCCGGAGAGGATATGGAAACCCGGTCGCGCTCTAGCAACTGAGGGGTTCTCATGATCATCCTTCACCTACGACATGAATGGAGAGCTATCGCCTTCTTCGCTTTTGGGGCGTCGAGGGTGGAGTGCTTGGCGCAGGTTTGGCTTTGTACTTGTCGTTCCGATGGTTGGTTGGCGGTGTGGAAAAATTCAGCGCGGTGCTTAGAGCAGGACACAGTAGAGTGGCTGGCGTGAATCAGCAAAACTATTACAACTCTGCCTCCAGAGTATCGCAACCACACAATGAAGATGGTTTGGAGTTTGAGTCCACCGTTGAGGTACTAAATATGGAGCTTGGCAGGATGGAACATCTATGGTTGGAGACTTGGCGAATGGAAAGCGAAGCAATAATATAAGCTATGGTCTATGCTTAGAACCCAATGGACCTTCCTTGCCAACAGGTTCTATATAGGGAAGGATGACGTTGGAAGAGTGGCAAGTATAAGCCTGCGTTTCGTGTTGCAGAGGCAGGCGCCACGCACAGTGACTTGAGTTGGCGATTAGTGACAAACATGTATGCGCCGTGGCATATTCAGCTTAGTAAGGCTTCCATCAATGCTATCAGAAAAATGTAGCACAAGTACGTTGACTTCGGCGTACAACAGCGCCGGTGCCTTTGTTGGAACAAGCAACACACCAACAGTACCAAACTACAAAATCACAACAAAATCCTATTGGCTTCAAGAGCATGTCGTCTTGTGCTACAGCCACTTGGACATATGCTGGCTTCAGGCTTTGTCTAAGTCCCATGTTCCAGCTGCCACCCAGCCCGCCAGAGCCACCTCTGGAAATATTATATCCCGCGTGCGCGCCCACTGCCGTTTCCAATCACTCAATGAAGACTCCGACGCCTGGTCCGCCGTCCTCAGCTGCCCGCCCCGATGCCGATACTTATATTCCACTGGCACATCCTTTGCCTAGGCGGTCGCAGTCGCGGACCTTCCGAGGAGGGCGTTGATTTGACATCTTGATGTTTGGGCAGATTAAGGTCCCTTCAGAGTTGGCTACATCGAAAGCCTAGTACAAGGTATGTCAACCTTCGCATTCGTTTGTTGTAGAACCTCCCTTGGCGCTGCTTCGCGTTATAGAACAAGAGGCCGATGATAAACCAAGCATGGGGGATAAAACTGAGTCTACTATCAAGCACTAGACAACAAGGTGAAGGGAAGCTATACTGAAGGGGAATCTGTCAAATAAGAATCAAGATCTCGCGATGGAATATAATTCTCTTTTCCCCTTTAACCTAGTGATCTATGCTTGCTTTTATTTTGCCTTGAATTCATGCCTCAAGTTCTTGCGCCAAAGTCTCTTGCGAGTTGGGCTTAAAAAATCCTGCCACCCAAAACCAAGCCTGAACAATGTTGTGTGCAACTAGCAAACTAGAAAACTAAATTCATCCAACTTCTTCAACTTCGTCATCATCATCATCTTCTTCCTCATCATCCTCATCATCCTCCTCGTCCCCCTCAACAAACCCACCCAACCCCATCTCAAGCTGCCCCCCCACCCCACTCCTACCTGGTCCCTGGCCCGAGTCATACATAGCCTCCATACTCAGCAGCCCCCCACAGCTCCGAAACACCTTTACCAAGTCTCTCGACCTCGTCGGCTGCGGGCTCATCAACAGCAATTTAACTGAGCAGCGCACCCTTGGCGCCCCATCCTTGTCCCTGTCCCCTAGCCCTAGCAACGCGTCCAGCACCGTATCCATGTCATCCCTGAACTGCCTGCGCAGATAGACCATCAACCCATCGACGAGAACCACCAGCGTCGCAGACGCAGGCAGGCGGCGCGCCATGAGCGAAAAGACGATGCATAGCTGGTCCACGTCGCCGGCCTCGAGGTTGTCAAGCGATACATTGGGGGGTAGTGTGGGGGGCGACGTATACGGACACTGCAGCAACAACTGCGCAATAAAGCTTTGCATAAGCAGTCCAGGCCCAGCAGCATCCTCCTCCTCCTCCTCCTTCGCCCTAGCCCGCCTTCCATGCCTCCCGCAGAAGAATACAAGAAAAGAGACACAAACCCCGGCCCGCGGGACCGCAGGGCCTGCACGAGCGTAACGCACAGCACAGACAGCGGCGAGACGGATTCTGGGGAGTCGAAGTCGCCGTGCACGAGCAGGCGGGCCATGTCGCGGCGCAGCATCCAGTGGCGGAAGTGGCGGGTGGCGACGACGTGCTCGGCGCGGCCGCGGTCGTCGGCGGGCATGGTGCCGGCGCGGTCGAGGACGGCGTCCATGTCTTCCTTGTCGAGGCCGTGGGCTGCGGCGACGAGGTCGTGGAGGAGCTGGGGGGTCCAGGGGGAGGGCGGGGGGGGTTCTGGGAGCATGATGTGGGTGATGCTGGGTTGGGGACTTGGGGCTCTGGAGTAGGGGGAGGGGATGTCGGGGTGCAGGAGATAGCCCTGTTGTTCTTGGGCTGGGGAGTTGGTAAGTATAACGATAAAGAAGTGATGTATCTGTGTTTGGAAGGCTGCTTACCCTTCAAACGTTCGTAATTTCCTAGCACGGGCAAGATCTTGTTCCATGCGTCAATCATCATTATATTACTTTCCTGCTGCCCTTGTCGAATGATCTCGGAGTTGTGTAGGATTTGGCTAGATCTGGCGGATTCTTGCTCCTGGTCTAGATACCTCAGCCGTTAGATTTTAACGTTTTCCTCGGTTTGCGATGTAACAAAAGAGATGGTCTGGTTGAAAGACAAACGCTGAAATATTTGGAACCAGAAGGAATGCTTGCTTCGTTCTCCAGGTTGTCGCTGTCAGTCTTAATCTTAATCAGACTCTCTCGTAGCAAGGTCATGTACTCGTCGCCACGGAAAGCAGCCTTGACAAGCCGGTGGACTGAGAAGCAACCGGGTCAGCTTTGGCATTAAAGCCTCGATTAAGACATGACAGCAGGAAGGGTATTTCTGCACCTTGCTGGCTAATATAGAAGCCAATGGCACCCTCGAGGGCCTTGAAAATAGTGAGGAGGAGGTTCACCGATGCATTGATGATGTTTTGGTCGTCCTTAAAGGTCTCATAGTATTGCCTCATGTTGGCGAACAAGACACCCTTGCCTAACTTGTCGATCTCGGTAGAGACTTGGTCCCGAACCTTGGCGGCTTCTTTCCAGGCCTACTTTGTGTCAGTCGACAACACAGCAGGCGATTCAAAGGCCATGAGACAAGATGTCACGTACGTCATGAGCAGATTGACGACACCCAACACAGGAGTGGCAACGGAATGAGATGAGAGAACTTTGATGATCTGCTGGATTGGCTGAGCAACCAGTTTCCCTGAGCTACGGCCGTGTCTCTTGAATTTGCCAATAAGTCCATGGTCCCACTCGTCATCTCGCCCATTGTACTCCAGTCGAGCACGTTCGAGTACTTCATTTACCTCTCTCCATCTTGTTGCGTCTCGGATACTAAACTCTGGAGCTCATTCCTTCGAAATCCAGCGGCGACAGTGGCCGAGAAGCTGGTACCCATGTGCCTTGCGATAGCCCAGGTAACGGTATTGGTAGCCCTGCCGGGGCTCCGCCGGCTGGGTTGGCCAGCGCCATATTGCTAGAGCCAGACCCATGCTGTTCGGTGATGATAACAAACCGATTTGTTTCGGGGCAAAACATGACGTTCTCGGAGGCGAAGACTGGGTGATATTTGGGCAGCCTGGTCTCAATGAAGTCCACGGCCGGTGAGTGGAGGTGAATATGAGGCGGTGCACCCTGGGGTTTGGCCATCTAGACCGACTGCTCAGGATATAGAAAGCTAAAGCAAAAGGAGGGCAGGAAGGCTTGTGTGAGAAGAAAATGATGATCTATGGAAAGTTGGGGCTGAAAGAGGTGGTCGTGGTTGCCAAAGGAGGTGGTCGCCGAAACTGGTGGTTGCCGAGCAGTTTAAGCAGGCTGCGTCCCGATCAAGTAGGAGTAGCCAAAGGGCTAGCCGACAACCCCGAAACCTGAGGCTATTGGTCAGATATGCCCAGCGATAAGCATGGACCAGTGTAGGCGTGGGCGGTCTGCTCCTCAGAGATGATTTGCCTGCATGGTGCAGGCGTAACACAGTAATTACGTTTAGGTTCTACCCCGCCATCACGTCAATTTTAATTTTTTTCATCTTTAGGTCTGCGTGCACATGAGGCTGCCCAACAGCGGGGTTGGAAAAGCTGCACTTTGACACAGCTGCAGTTGTGATTTGCCATCCCAGGCTGCAACTGTCATAGTCGGCTTGCATTGTGGCTTCCCCGGGATTCCAATTCAAGTAGGATTTGACGCAGCACAAAGTCGGATGTCCCGACACACTCAGTCGATTGGTTGAAGGACAACAAATTGCCGCACATCCAGCGTCTTGTGCGACTCGACAGTCAAATTAGAGGTGCTACATCGGTTCCTACTTGCCAATATCTTCAGACCGGTCACTGACGTGGCCGCCTCGGGAAAGATGTAGAAGGCGAAATACGGCAGAGCGGCACAGCTGACACACAGGCTACATGTCGCTGGTCTGGCGCCCACCCGGGTTGTGTGAGATCCTTGGACGAGAAGCGTTAGGCAGTCGAATAAGGCTCTGATCAATCCTAGCGGACCGCAGATCCCTTGTCGCGCTTTGTTAGTTAGGCGCTACCTCTAGCACAAAATCCGTGTGTCTTTCCTCTGTTCTCTGGCCGTGGAATTCTCGTAACATCAGCATGAACTCCGGTCTCCGTTTCATCTTCATCCAACACCATCCAAGCCCAATCACCATTTCATAAAAAAACCCACTCATCCTCAGCCACGCAGGCACTGGTGTCTCATTTGTCCTGCCTAGAAGACACCTCCGCGGCCATTCTATCTCATCTTCCAAAGATCCAGGTACCCAGACCCTTCCAGTACCAGATCTCCATCCAGTATCACGAGGGGAGACGCAGTCATGGCACCAGATCTCGACTGTAACCCTGCCGTCAATGAGGAGGCCAGCGCGACCATCGATCCAACCGACGGAGCAGGGGGCAGGGGGCAGATCCCCCACTAGACACCGGTGGAAGTCCGCATCTTGGAAAAGCCATGGTACCCGCCGAGCAATACGCGAGTCTACTCGAGAAGGTTGACGCCCTGGAGCGGAACATGTCTCGCGTCGACGCTTACGTTCAGCGTGAGCGTGACGTGAAATCTCCGATGGGGAGGTTGGATGACGCTCGATACGATGGCGATGATGATGATGAGGATGATGACTATTACGATACCAACGCCTCCATCCGCCATTTTGACGAAGAGTTCTGGGACATGTTCAAAGGGTACCGAAGAGCGATGGGGGATATGAGTTTGATGGCGCGTGAGGCGAGAAAGGCATTCCAGCGCCGCCGTGGATATCTATCCCGACGCAAAAAATATAGAGAAAGAGAGGCGGAAGTTCGAGTCGATTCAGACGATGATCAAAGCGAACCTGCCACGGAAGAGAAACCGGTTTTTCGTGCCGCTCAAATGCTGGCAGATGGGATCCCCGCAACGCTCGCCCGGACGCGATGGGAAACCCTCAAGATCCCCAACCGGAATTCTATCGACCGTCTCGCCATCCCAGTCGAGTTGCTGATCGGGGAGCCAGAAGTTACTTTCAACTTCGCACCAAAGCGACAACTTGAAGTTCGGAAGCCGATAACAGGCGAGTTTGTCAGACAGGCACCACTTCCTGAGCGTGTCATAGTCTACTCGTTGTCCCTCATCTCAATTTTCGCAAATGTCAGCGATGAGAAGACCAAGGGAGTCATCCCCTCCTCGTTCCTCCGGCCATTTAGATTCTTAGTGTACTACGATGCACAACTTCGGGAGTTGGCAGCGAAACTCGAAAATAAGTTCGCCCATCTGACCCGGGAAACGTCAGATGGCTCGCTCCACAGGAGGGCCACTGTGGTCCAACAAGGCCTTGATCCTCGAACAGTCCCCACTGGAGATACTGTCAATAATGCAACCTTGGAAGCAGCAGTCGAGGACGAGGAGGGTGACGATGAGGAGGAGGAGGATCCCGATACAACATCTCCCCATGCCCTCCTCCACCTTCGCTGCCTTCTTCAGTTTCTAGACACAGACATTCGGGACAAAGTCAAGTATATCTCCAGATTACATGCGGTTAGTCTGCCAAAATCTCGACATATCGTTCGTGCCATGCTGACAGCCTATACCCAGGCGATCTAGGCACTACGGCAAATGAAGTCCAGACGGAACTTGAAAAGAACTTCAGTCTGGCAAGCCGGTGGGGCTGCATTCTGCTATTGGACGAGGCCGACGTGTTCCTTGCGTCACGAGAGCGGAAAGACTTCATTAGGAATGGCCTGGTCGCAGGTAAGCGTGGAATGCTCACTCCCACAGTAACATCAACGTGCCAAAGCTAAGGAAAGCCAGTCTTCCTCCGTGTCCTCGAGTACTACTCGGGCATCCTATTCCTCACAACCAATCGCGTGGGCGACTTTGACGAGGCTTTCGCCTCGCGCATCCACATGAGCCTGCATTATCCAAAACTCGACCTCGAAAAGACGCGCAAGGTCTTCAAGCTTAACCTCGACTTGATCAAGGAGAAGTTTGAGCAGCAAGGGCGGATGGGCAAGCTCATCTTTGAGGAACAGGTCATCCTCGAGTTCGCGGAGAAACACTACGCCGTCAACGAGCCCGAGAATATGCGCGGGCTGCGCTGGAACGGGCGGCAGATCCGCAACGCGTGCCAGACGGCTCTGGCCATGGCCGAGTTTGAGGCGTACGGGAAGCAGATTACGGCCGAGACAGACCCGGACGGAATGGTCATCCTGAAGCGGGGCCACTTCACAACCATTGAAAAGGCCTACGACGAGTTCGCCGTCTACCTCGGCAACGTCTACGGCATGGACATGGACGAGCGGGCGGCCGAGGCTAGACTGCGGGCCGAGGAGGCGAAGAAGAAGAAGAAGAAGACGAGCAAGGTAGCCGAGCGCGCACTCAAGGAGTCGACGACGAACACCGCCACCGTAGGCACGAACACGGTGCATCCTCAGCCAGGCTCGCATCCTACAGGCGGACAGGATTATAATGTGCGTTCCTCTACGCCGATGAATCAGGGGTTGCCTGTTATGAACCAACATGGCGGAGCCACGACGAACTTCGCCCCCGGCAACCCACCAGGCGCGTATCAGCTCCCATACTCGGCGCAGCAGCAGCAGCAGACCCAGCAAGCGATTCCTCAAGGAGGGTTCCCCACCTACAACGCCGCCACCAACCCACAGCAACAGCAAACCCTACAGCCCAACCCGCAAATCGCCATCAACCAAGCCGCGCTTCAAAACCAGGGGACACCAGCATCGTCGCTTGCTCTCACGGCCAGATACTACACTGCCACGCCAGCACCACAAATCCTGCGCGCGCAAGAACAAGCCCAAGGGTATACCGGCGGGAATGTCCCGGTCGCTGCGTACGGCCAGCAGGGGATGCAGCAGACGTCGGTGCAGTACGTGTATCCCAGTAATGCTAGGGCTAGTCAGGGGGGTCAGGAGGGGCAGGGGAATACAGCAGGTGCGTAGGAAGTTGTCAATCCTTCTGGTGAGGCGCATGTTGGTTCTTTCTCTATGTAGCGCTTACCTTGCCTCTTCTCCCTGCATATGCCACTCCTTGATAAGGGGAGGTTAACTAGCAACAATCGCGTAATATATATAGATGCCAGCTTATCTGCTATACCTTACAATCTCAATGGAACACGAATTTGCGCTATTTCGTTACTTAAGCACTTGCTTCTTGACATGTAATGCTAATGCTCTACCACGCTGCATCAAGGAGTTCCCCGTCAAGCTCAACTTAAGCTTCAGCAGCTAGATTGCGGCAAGACATTTTAACTCGAACACGCTGGTATAGTAGATATAGTCTGCAATAACTTCTTCCCCACATGAACCTCCATACCTGTTCTAGGCCAACAGAGAAGCCCCAGCTGTCTCTCCAAGTGAAAACATAGCGGCTTGCTAGATGACAAACAGCATGCTGAATAGGATTAGCCTAGGCATAAGGTCAAGCAGCACGTTGCCCATCGCCGGGATGCGACGATGATTAACGGGCTAATGCTTGGGACACTGTTCGCATGCCGTCCGTCGTCCTGTTAGTCCCGCTGTACCCCACTATCTGCATCAGCCCCTCACCAGCCAGTCGCTTATCAACCCCTATCGGGACGTGTGGCTTCTGGCCAGCTCTAGCGCATTCAACGTTGTCCTGGCCACACGCTTCTTTAACGACCTGCCGCGGGAGATCTTTGAGGTGGCAGGCACAGCCGGAGCGGAACTGTTCCGGCTGTTCTGGTCCATCGTCATGCTCATGTCAAAGCCCGTCCTCAGCGTGGTATTTGTCTTCGCAATCATCAATGCCTAGAAGGACTACCTCTAGCCCACGCTGGTGCTCAAGGACAAGGCCATGCAGCCACTATCCAACGTCTGCCAGAGATCTAGTCGCAGACGCAGCTTGGCATCTATCTCGTCAGACTGTTCATCTCGATTCTCATCCCCGTCACCCTCTTCCTAGGAGAGGGGGGGGGGGGGGGGGGGCTTGGTGGCGCGGTGAAGTCGATCGAAGCAGAGGTTTGTCAGGCCATAGCTTCAAAGCCAAGGAATCCAAGAAGCAGCAGCATTAACAAGGAGACTAAGCAGACAATGCGTTAACCTCCAAGATAGACACCAAGACAACAACATGGGTTTCCAGGATTCGCTAATGCTAGCTGACTATGATTCATCCCTACGACACTCTTATACCCCCTTTGCTCTCCTTCTCTGCCTCTCTATCTGTTTCTCCATGTCTCCCCATTGCCTAGACTCTATCTCCTAGTCACCTCTCCAATCCTAAACACTAGGTTGAAGAAGCGGGAATAGAGCAAGCCTGACGATACCAATTCGCCATCTATGCCTTTTGAGAAGAGCCACAAGATATCCTCCCACAGTCACCTAGCACTTGACAGAGCTTAGCTAGACACTAAGGGTGTTTCATTTGATATACCCGCGGGCGCGGGCGGGGGGGGGCGGGGGGGGGGGGGGGGGGGGGGGGGGGGCGGGGGGGGGCGGGGGGGGGGGGGCGGGGGGGGGGGGGGGGGGGGGGGGGGGGGGGGGGGGGGGGGT